GGGACGGCGGGGGTGGCGAGGGCGGAGGCGGGCTAGGGGGAGGTGGGCTTGGGGGCGGCGGGGAGGGCGGCGGCGGCGATGGCGGTGGTGGCGAGGGGGGTGGCGGCGAGGGCGGCGGCGGCGAGGGTAGAGGCGGCGAGGGCGGCGGCGGCGAGGGCGGAGGCGGCGAGGGCGGAGGCGGCGAGGGCGGGCTCGGTGGCGGCGGGGACGGCGGCGACGGGGATGGCGGCGAGGGCGGCGGGCTCGGCGGCGGTGGCGACGGCGGAGGCGGTGAGGGCGGCGGTGAGGGTGGGGGCGGCGACGGCAGAGGCGGTGAGGGCGGCGGTGAGGGTGGGGGCGGGCTCGGAGGCGGCGGCGAGGGCGGCGGCGGCGAAGGCGGAGGCGGCAAGGGTGGGGGGGCTGGCCGGGGGTGGGCTTGGCGGCGGCGGCGAGGGTGGTGGCGGTGATGGTGGAGGCGGCGAAGGTGGCGGCGGGCTCGGCGGCGGTGGGGACGGCGGCGGCGGGTCGGTGGCGGCGGGGACGGCGGCGGCGGGCTTGGCGGTGGCGGGCTCGGCGGCGGTGGTGACGGGGGTGGCGGTGACGGTGGTGGCCTTGGCGGCGGCGGCGAAGGGGGCGGTGGGGATGGGGGCGGGGGCGAAGGTGGCGGCGGCGGGGGTGAGGGCGGCGGGCGCTGCTGCAGCCGGGTGCGTCGTGGTAGGCCGCAGCACCACTCGCGCTGATGCAGAGCCGCCGGCCGACGTAGCACAACTCGCGCTCGCACCAGCCGCCGGCCGAGGTGCAGGGCTGTGACTTAACGACTATCCGGCGGCGCCGCCGAGTACCTTTCTGTACGCCGTCAGCCTCGTTGTCGGGAGGCAAGTCGTCGCCCTCCGGAGCGCGCTCATCACCTACGGCCCCAACGACAGCGCTCTCGCGCCGCCCTCACGCGTGCGGCGACGCCGCCATCGGGAGTGCGTGGACCGGCAGGTAAGGCTGTGAGCCCGGGAGTGCGTGGACCGGCAGGTAAGGCTGTGGCGGGAGGCACACACCGGCGACACCCGCTCGACGCTCACAGCGGAGGCGGCGAGGATGCGGCGCAGCAGGGCCGCGCTGCGAGCCACCGCTCGGGCCTGCCGGGAGGCTGCTGCGGACGCTGTGGCGCCCGCCGGGCACACGAATGGCGCCCGCCGGCCCGAGGGAAGGAATTGGGGCGCTGGGCAGGCGCCGCTTTCATCGTGCAGCAGCGGCAAACGAGAGCCAAGTATAGCGGCCGACGGCGCAGGAGATAAGATCATGAGATTCCTTTGACCCCAAACATTGGATGTCGCACCACGGAATCAAGAAGAAGAAACAACGGCTGAATCTCGCGAACCGCGAGGGAGGGAAGATCCTCTTTCAAGAAAGCAAGCAAGGAAACGCAGCCAATAGGGGGGTATGGCCCCAAACCCAAACTGAATCTCGAAGCGTTTGAGAGGCGTTTTCGTTCGGCGTCTATGGGATCGCTTAGCGTTCCTAAGTCTTAAGCGCCAGGTCTGGCGAGCTGGGCTTGTGGCCTCAGCTAGGTCATGCACACACCCTCTGGGCGCTGAGCTGAGTGGAACGAGTGGAGGCGAGAGTGTAGTGGAGCCGAGCGGAGCCGAGCGGAGCCGAGCGAGCCGGCCGAGCCGAGCGCGCAGCATTCCCAGCCCCTTTGACCGAAGGTCCGGTTTGGAAGCCAAAGACCCACAAGAACGGGCCCTTCTGCCGTGACGCCCTCTTGCGCCATTCGGCGCGTCTCGGTCGGCCGTGGTTGTGTTGCCATCATGCCGGCTCTCATTTGCGCGACCCCGCGCGCCCCTAAAGCTCCGCGGCGTGGCCTCCGCAGACGCTCCCCTCGCCTCGAGGCAGTCGCGAGGAACGGCAATGGTGAGGAGTACGCAGTGAGGGCGAGAGAGGGCGGTGCGGTGGCGACGCCGCGGCGTGGCGCGAATGGGCAGAGTGCGGAGAGAAGTGCGAGCCGCAATCACAGAATTGGCTCAACACCCTTCGGCGCGACTGGAAGCGAGCGTCGGCCGGGATCCTGACGCGAGCACCAGGCTGGCGCTTGACTTTTTATTTGCTCAGATTGGATCTGCAGATCGAGCAGATCCTAGATAGGAGCTACTTGTCTTCGGCTTAAGAGCTGCAGCTCCTATGACAAAGACAAGTAGCTCCTAAGTCAAGAGCTGCAGCTCCTATTGGCCAGAGAGCTCCTAGATTGGATCTGCAGATCGGGCAGATCCTACCCTGACCCTAACCCTAACCCTAACCCTAACCCTAACTCCAGCCTAACTCCAGCCTAACTCCAGCCTAACTCCAGCCTAACTCCAGCCTAACTCCAGCCTAACTCCAGCCTAACTCCAGCCTAACTCCAGCCTAACTCCAGCCTAACTCCAGCCTAACTCCAGCCTAACTCCAGCCTAACTCTTATATATAAGAGCTGCAGCTCCTAATAGGAGCTACTAGTCTTCGGCTTAAGAGCTGCAGCTCCTATGGCAAAGACAAGTAGCTCCTAAGTCAGGAGCTGCAGCTCCTATGGCAAAGACAAATAGCTCCTAAGTCAAGAGCTGCGGCTCCTATAGCAAAGACAAGTAGCTCCTAAGTCAAGAGCTGCAGATCCTATGGCAAAGACAAGTAGCTCCTAAGTCAAGAGCTGCGGCTCCTATGGCAGAGACAAGTAGCTCCTAAGTCAAGAGCTGCCGCTCCTATTGGTCAGAGAGTTGCAGCTCCTGTTGCCTAATCCTAGTCGGCGGCAGCCAGGTGGCGGCAGCCAGTTTGCGGCAGCAGTGCTTGTTTGCAGAGACAAGAGGTTCCAGCAAATCCTAGTCGGCGGCAGCCAGGTCGCGGCAGCCAGGCGGCGGCAGCCAGCAGTACGCGGCAGCCAGGTCTGTGTTTCGAGAGACAACAGGTAGTCCCAGCAAATCCTAGACGGCGGCAGCCAGGTCGCGGCAGCCAGTTCGCGGCAGCACACCGCGCCACGCACACCCTTGTCGCTCAGAGCGGTGTGGGAACAGCGCCCTGGACGCGTGGTACACGGACGCGCCGCGAGAACCCGTGCCAGGCAAGCTTCAGCCGCCCCACCGGCGCTCAGTCAGCCCCTCTAGCCCCACCAGTGCCGCCCGCTTCAGATGGCACTCTGAGGCCTTTACGAGTCCTTCTTGGCTCCCGCCAGCAGCGCCTCGTGACGTGGGCTGGTCGGCCCTTCGAGACGGCCCGGGAGGCGGCGGAAGAGGCCTCTTTTGCCGTTGAAGCGGGATATACGACCCGTAAGGGCCTCTCCCACGCGGGCCTCTCCCACGCTGCCACGGCAGCCGCCGCTGCACCATCCCAACCGGCCCCGTTCCACCTCCTTTCCCCCCCTTCGCGCCCTCGAGAGCTCACTCCGCATCCCTCCAGCGATATACAGGACCGCTGGGGCGATGAGTGGCGTGCGCGCCGCCCAGGGTGGCCTCAGAGAGGCACCGAGAGTTGAGCTCTCTAGGCGGCCCTTGAGCGCGCGTGCCTCCGGCAGCACCGACCCCACGGAGACGTCCACGTCGGCCGGAAGCGCGCCCATCGCGCCCAGCACGCCCATCGCCGCGCGCCCCGCGGCGGTGGTCTTGATGCGCCCGGGCGCGCCCGCTGAGGCGTCTGTGGCGCCCCTCACACATCCGCCTCCCGCGCCACGGCCCCGTCCTCACCGCTTGCCACTCCTCCGGCGTTAGGCAATGGTCGGAGGACAAATAGCGCCGTCTTTAGGTCGCGTGGCAAGCGCCAACGAGCACGCAACTACGGGTTTGACGACTTCGCAACTGTCAGGCGGCTCAATAGGTGACGTCACGACGAGTTTACGGCGCTGCTCCGTGTCAACATCCCCACCACCGCCGCCCTCCGCCCCGCCGCCGCCGCCGCCGCCATGAGCGGCTCCGCCTCGCCCTCTCCGCCGCCTCCCTCCGCCTCGCCCTCGCCTCCGCCCCCCTCCGCCTCGCCCTCGCCTCCGCCTCCCTCCGCCTCGCCCTCGCCTCCGCCTCCCTCCGCCTCGCCCTCGCCGCCGCTTCCCTCAGCCGCCGCCGCCGTCGGCCTCGCCGTCACCGCTGCCGCCGTCCGTCTCGCCTCGCCGCCGCCCCTGTCGGCCTCGCCCTCGCCGCCGCCTCCCTCCGCCTCGCCCTCGCCGCCGTGGCCCTCCGCCTCGCCGTTGCCACCGCCACCCTCCGACTCGCCATCGCCGCCCGCCGTCACCGCCGCCGCCCTCCGACTCGCCGACGCCGACGTCGCCGCCCGCCACCCTCGCCACTGCCGCCCTCCGCTTCGCCGCCGCTGCCGCCGCCCTCCGCCTCGCCCCCGCCGCCACCTCCCGCCCGCCTCGCCGCCACTGCCGCCGCGGTCGACCTCGCATTCGCCTCCGCCTCCCCTCCGCCTCGCCCTCGAAGCCGCCTCCCTCCTCCTCGCCGCCGCCGCCGCCGCCGTCGACCTCGCCGTCGCCGCCGCCTCCCTCCGCGTCCGTGCCGTCGCTGCTGCCGCCGTCCGCGTCGCCGTCACCGCCGCCGCCGTCCGCATTACTCTCGCCGCCGCCGCCCTCCGTCTCGCCATTGCCGCCGCCGCCCCCCGCCTCGCCGTGCCTCCGCCGCCGTCGGCCTCGCTCTCGCCTCCCTCCGCCTTGCCGTCGCCTCCCTCCGCGTCGCCCTCGCGCCTCCCTCCGCCTCGCCGTTGCCGCCGCCTCCCTGCCTCCACCTCACCGCCGCCGCCGCCGCCATCAACCTCGCCCTCGCCGCCGTCTCCCTCCGCCTCGCCGTCTCCTTTGCCTCCCTCCGCCTTGCCGCCACCGCCGCCGCCTCCCTCCGCCTCGCCGCTGCCGCCGCCGCCGCACCGCCGACCTCGCCCTCCGCCGCCGGCTCCCTCCGCATTGCCATCGCCGCCGCCTCCCTCCGGATCCCCGTCGCCGCCGTCGCCGTCCGCGTCGCCGTCACCGCCACCGCCCTCCGCCTCGCCCTCGCCGCTACCGCCGTCCGTCTCGCCGTCGCTGCCGCCGCCATCCGCTTCGCCCTCGCCGCCCGCCGCCCTCCCGCCTCGCCGCCTCCGCCGCCGTCGGCCTTGCCCCCCCCCCCCCCCCGTAAAAGAACGCCAGAACGGATATGCTACCAGGTCACAGTATGGGCTCGGGACCTGTTCACACCAGTGTGAGGGTCGGGGACACATATGTGCCACAGGGTACGCGCACCATAGCGCCTCTCTATAAGAAGAGGCGCTGGCAGTTCTAGGCGGCTCCGGCTCCTGGAAGTCGGCCTCGTCCCCTACGAGAAGTGACAACAATCCCTACGACCGGAGCCTCGACCGGTCCAACTTCATACCCAGCGGAACTCCCCTCGATACGCGCAGCTTTTGCAGACATGCGGCGACATGCGGCCTACCGCCTTCTTGCTACAATTCACGGCAACGGCGCCCCTAACAATTGCGTCGCTTCTTGAGCAGGGTTGCATGTTTTCAAGTAAGACTTCCTACT